GATATCATCTGTACTGGAACATATCAATCGCAAATGGGGAAGCTCAAGTTGTGCGACTGGAGAGCTAATGCTATTTCCTTACAATGCACGAAAAGAAACTGTAACTTGCCATCAGAGGTGGACCCATGACTCTTTTCTAAGTGCAGCAGAAGTACATTCAATGGTTGGAAGTCCCTCGATTTTCCGCTTAAGGTTTGCCCTCATATTTTCCTGGTCTCGTGCAGATTTCTTCTCGTCAAATTATCATACAGGATAAACCATATTAATTTTCTTGTATGTATTTGCAGGTATGGTTGGTTTGTCCATGATTCATCAGGTTCTTTTATTTCTCAAGTTCCAACTTCAGATCTTTGCCCTTCACACGAGGATGACATGAATGTGGATGGAGTGAACGAGGTCAACATGCTTCTTACTGAATCAGGACCCTTGTCTGTGCATTTAACTGCCGAACAACCGACATCTGTAGAACCCAGCCTGGGTCTAGTATGTGCCTCTGGTGATACTGATGATCGACCCACAGAATCTAGAGATGATTATGAGCCTGCTTCATTAACTATTACTCCATTTGAGAATTTAAGCAGCGTTAATGCACAATCAGCAGGGGAATGGGCTGATAGTCTTACTAACATAAGTATAGGTGATCTACTTTCTGAAGTGCCTGATGACATAGATAGTGATGATGTGGATCCACCTGCCACTGAGGGTTCACATTACCTCCTTCGAGATGTCTCATTTGCCTCAGAATCTTTTGATGCTGCGATTGCTGCTCATATACTAAGACACCAGAACAAGCCAAGTACTCTACTGCCATCAACTTCTGGCTCTTCCTCTCTATGGGATGATGAAGAAACACGTGATGCCTTCTCTTTCCAAAAGAATCGTTTTGCAGATTCCTCCAAGTTGGCTAATGTCACTTTTCCTGGAGGTATTGCCAGAGTAAATGGAAAGTCTTCTCAATTGGTAGAGGTAATTATATCAGTCTCAAACTCTAATTCCACAATTGTTTACACAAATAAATCATCTGATACAATCCTTTCTCTTAGGCTTTATCCCCCGACGAGAAGCTTCCTGACCACGGAGAGCCTATGGAAGAGGGTCCAACAGACCCCCATACGATGGATTCTCCAGGGAAGACCCATTGTGGGCTTGCGGATATATATTGGGTAAATCTCGAAACCTCATATTTTCTTCCGAAGTAAAAAAGCACAGATATGCATAAAAACTCTTGTTTCATTTGTTTTACTCCTCTTTGCAGCCTGACTCGTTAGGACCACTGGATTTAGACATAAGATCTTCAAAGTATACAGACGATTTGATCCTCAGTGAGAGCCTCGGGGGTTTGAGCCGTCTGATAGCGACCAGCCTCGATGCCTTTCAGAACTGCTCGCTCTTTGGGTTCGACAACAAGAAGGATAAGTCTAACATGGTCTGAGATGGAACCAAAGCTAAAGCATGGGGTCCAAATGTTGATAGTTGAAAAGAAAGTGACTCTTGCCTTTTAAAAAAAGAAACTTTATCACCCAACTGATAGCTTCACTGTACAAAAATCTGATGTAAGTTTTTTTTTTTTTAACTCAGCTCTCTCAACACAGTCTTCTGTGTTGATACATGTTTATGTGTACCCTTACTGTGTTATTTACATGTTTATTTTGGCTATCATGCCTTTTTTTTTTGGTTCTTTTGTTTATAGAAGTTTCATGTCTAATATTAATGTCGCAGAATATTCTAAATTCTTTGTAAGAGTTATGAGTAAAATAAAAATTTAACTTCACCAAGTTTTTAAAAATCAGAATCTAGATACGAAGAAACTTTTCAAAGTTAATCTTGAAACACAAATGAATTAGCAGTGACTTATACCAGAGTTGTTGTATCACCATCCAAATTTAAATATGCATTATACATATTGATGCATATATAATAGCATGGTTTATTTATTTTCTCTCATTTCCTTTTTAATATTCTATCTGAAAAAAGATTCCAAACGTCTACTTTTCTACTACACTTGATCAGTCTAACCCATGATTCAATATTAAAAAAACATGGAAAACTAAGTTTGATTGTTGTCTTGATCATCATCATCATATGTGTTCAAATTGGTTTTCTTCTCTTCTATTCCAGACATGAAAACATTCTCCAACATTCAGTTTTCTCACTCTCAATGGTTAGTGTAAGGCTGTAAGCCAAAAGCTAAAAACCAACACTGCACACTCTCCAGTCTCCACCCTAAAAGTCCCTAAGTGAACAAAATTTCAAAAATACAGTTTCATTCATTAAACTAAACCGTATGGTAATAAGTTTTACACTGTCAAATTCAGTTTATCCATAGGTAGAGATAAAACTATGGATATGCACTCAATTATGAGCCCCATACAACAATGATGTAAAGCCAAGTTGCCATAACATGACAAATCTGCTTTAGTGTGATACACCGCTTTACACTGGCCTACTCTTTTACATCACGTTGAGTTCGTACACGAAGAGATAGGCTTTACTTGCCCTTTGAATATTCTTCTTTCATAAATTTGACGGCTTCTGTTGTCACGAGATATCTTTTAGACGATCAATATATATGACACAATTACATATATCATACATAATATACATATTATATATAAAGGCATATTCGAGTTCTCATATATACAATCACCACATAATCTAATAAGAGCAAATTAAATACGCGCCTGAAGTATACTATAGTATAAATATAAATAAACCTTAATATAACTTTATTAGAGTTGAATTCGAAGGTCATGCAAAGTATGGATGATAAGAGTTAAGTAGTACCTGAAATTATAGCATGCTTCTTTTTATAATTTTGCTTTCTTTAAATAATACAAGGGCCAAAGTTTTATTTTGGAGTAAGCTTTTTAGAGGACTGGCCTTGCATATCATCATCCATTAGAAACTAGAAGTCTAGAATTGTGGAATATGTTTTATTGGTATAATTGGTGTAGTTTTTCAAAGAATATCTCCATTCAAGTTTTCTACGATTGATGTATATAAAATTAAAATAATTTATCCTTTAGAATTTCACTTGTATGGTTGATAAATATGTACACTCTTAGTCCATACAATCATTCGAAACACCAAGACAAGAAAATTCTTCCAAACAACAAAAAAAAAAATCAATGGAGAGCGCAAAGTCGAGGAAGGCTCATATCATGATGATACCATACCCGCTTCAAGGCCACGTTATCCCTTTTGTCCACTTAGCCATTAAACTCGCTTCTCACGGCTTCACCATCACTTTCGTCAACACCGACTCCATCCACCACCATATCTCTACCGCTCGCCAAGGTGACGCCGGTGACATCTTCTCCGCGGCCCGCAGCTCAGGAAAGCTCGACATACGTTACACCACCGTGAGCGACGGCTTCCCTTTGGGGTTTGACCGCTCACTTAACCACGACCAGTTTTTCGAAGGCATTCTCCACGTCTTCTCTGCCCACGTCGATGATCTCATCGCTAAACTCTCACGCCAGGATGATCATCCGGTGACTTGCTTGATAGCCGACACGTTTTATGTTTGGTCGTCTATGATTTGCGACAAGCACAACCTCGTTAATGTCTCGTTTTGGACCGAACCTGCCTTGGTCCTCAATCTCTATTATCACATGGATCTCCTCATATCCAACGGTCATTTCAAATCTCTCGGTAAAATTCTTATTCAATCATGTCAATGATATATTTTGCCTGTTTTAGCCATACATAAACAAAAACATACAAAATATATTTCTCCATCTTTTGACTTGTCACAAGTCATAGTTTTATTATTGAGATGATTGAATAAGAATGGATCATAAATAAGAAAAATTGTGTATTATCCCGGAAGAAAATTAAGGAACTATGATTTTTTTGTTGGGGTAATTTGATAGGAATTTTGGTTTTATATGGCTTTTTTTTTTTTGGCCTACATATACTATATGGTCTTAGTAACATCATATTCGTATTGAACTTGATGGTAGATAATCGTGAAGACGTGATCGATTACGTACCAGGGGTTAAAGCAATAGAACCAAAGGACTTGATGTCATATCTTCAAGTAAGCGACAAAGACGTAGACACAAATACAGTGGTTTATAGAATACTATTCAAAGCCTTCAAAGACGTCAAGAGAGCCGACTTCGTCTTATGCAACACCGTGCAAGAGCTCGAACCAGACTCTCTCTCAGCTTTACAAGCCAAACAACCGGTTTACGCCATAGGTCCGGTTTTCTATACCGATTCGGTTGTCCCCACGAGCTTATGGGCAGAGTCAGACTGTACCGAGTGGCTTAAAGGCCGACCAACCGGGTCGGTCCTCTACGTCTCGTTTGGTAGCTATGCACATGTTGGTAAAAAAGAGATTGTTGAGATAGCTCATGGGCTTTTGCTTAGTGGGATTAGTTTCATTTGGGTTTTACGTCCGGATATTGTTGGATCCGACGTGCCGGATTTTCTTCCAAATGGGTTTGTGGATCAGGCCCAAGATCGAGGTCTTGTGGTCCAGTGGTGCTGCCAGATGGAAGTCATTTCAAACCCTGCCGTGGGAGGTTTTTTCACTCATTGCGGTTGGAACTCAATTCTTGAGAGCGTTTGGTGCGGTTTGCCTTTGTTGTGTTATCCGCTATTGACGGATCAGTTCACGAATAGGAAGATTGTGGTCGATGATTGGCGCATTGGGATCAACCTTTGTGAGAATAATAAGAATGTCACAAGGGAACAAGTCTCGGCTAATGTTAGGAGATTGATGATCAAAGGAGAGACTTCAAGTGAGCTTAGAGGCAACGTCGAAAAGGTTAAACGTCATCTCAAAGATGCGGTTACAGCCGTTGGATCTTCGGAGAGGAGTTTTAACTCATTCGTTTGTGAGGTCCGAAGTAGAATAGAAACTAAGTTGTGTAATGTTGTAAATGGGCTCGAGACAAGTCGATCAGACTGAGCTGTTTAAACATGTTATCGATATGAATTTCACTTTATTTGGTTGTTGTATCTATCGCACCGCTCGAATAAGCAGAAGAGAGATTACTCCATGAGTTTGTGCAAATGTCTGTTTTGGTTCGTCTTACTTCAAAAAAGATTGCGTCTTTGGCGAAATCAGGTCGCATAGCAAGCGCACGTCAGTTGTTCGACGAAATGTCTGAACGAGATATTGTGGCGTGGAACACTATGTTGACGAGTTATTCTCGTTTGGGTCTGTATCAGGAAGCTATGTCTTTATTTACACAGTTGAGATTCTCTGACGTTAAGCTTGATGATTATTCGTTTACTGCAATCTTGAGCACTTGTGCGAGTCTAGGCGATGTTAGATTCGGAAGAAAAATTCAGTCTTTGGTTATTCGGTCTGGATACGGTGCTTCGTTGCCGGTTAATAATTCGCTTATTGACATGTATGGTAAGTGTTCTGATACTCTTAACGCAAACAAAGTGTTTCGAGATATGGGCAATGGTGGTAGAAATGAGGTAACTTGGTGCTCGCTTTTGTTTGCGTACATGAATGCTGAACAGTTTGAAGCTGCCCTTGATGTTTTCGTTGAGATGCCTAAAAGGGTGGCATTTGCGTGGAATATTATGATCTCAGGTCATGCCCAGTGCGGAAAGATTGATTCTTGTTTAAGGTTATTCAAAGAGATGTTGGAGAAGAGTGAGTTTGAAGCTGATTGTTATACGTTTAGTTCTCTGATGAATGCTTGTGGTGATTCGTCAAACTTGGTTTATGGACGGATGGTACATGCTGTTATAGTGAAGAACGGGTGGGATTCTGCGGCTGAGGCAAAAAATTCTGTGCTAAGTTTCTATGCGAAAGTAGGCTGCAGAGATGATGCCTTGAGAGAGCTCGAGTCTATTGAAGTCTTGACTCAGGTATCTTGGAATTCTATTATTGATGCGTGTATGAAGATAGGAGAAACAGAGAAAGCTCTTGAGGTATTTCATTTAGCTCCTGAGAGAAATATTGTTACTTGGACTATTATGATTGCAGGATATGGTAGGAATGGAGATGAAGAGCTAGCACTGAGGTTTTTTGTTGAAATGATGAAGTCTGGAGTGGATTCCGATCATTTTGCATATGGTGCAGTTCTTCACGCTTGCTCGGGTTTACCCTGTTTAGGACATGGAAAAATGATCCATGGTTGTCTGATCCATCGAGGGTTTCAAGGTTATGCTTATGTTGGTAACGCCTTGGTTAATTTGTATGCGAAGTGTGGAGATATTAACGAATCAAACCGCGCATTTGGGGATATAGCTAACAAAGATTTGGTATCTTGGAACACAATGCTTTTTGCGTTCGGTGTCCACGGGTTAGCAGATCAAGCTCTAAAGCTATATGACAACATGGTCGCATCAGGGATTAAACCAGACAAGGTAACATTCATTGGATTGTTGACAACGTGCAGCCATTCAGGCCTTGTAGAGGAAGGTTGCACAATTTTCGGATCCATGGTTAAAGATTATGGAATCCCATTGGAAGTAGATCATGTAACATGTATGGTAGATATGTTCGGGAGAGGTGGATATCTAGAAGAAGCAAAGGAATTGGCTACAACATACAATACACTTGTTACTAACGCCAGTAATAATTGTTCATGGGAAGCTCTTTTGGGTGCTTGTTCTACAAATTGGCACACAGAATTAGGCAGAGAAGTTAGCAAAGTTCTAAAGATAGCAGAACCAAGTGAAGAGATGAGTTTTGTTCTGTTATCCAACTTGTACTGCTCAAGTGGGCGGTGGAAGGAAGCAGAAGATATAAGGAGAGAAATGGTTGAGCGAGGAATGAAGAAAACACCGGGATGTAGCTGGATCGAAGTAGGAAACCAGATCTCAACTTTCCTAGTCGGTGACTCTTGGCACCCGCGCTTGGAAGAGCTTTCTGAAACTTTAAACTGCATTCAACGAGAAATGAGAAACCCAGAGACGTTTTGGAACATGTAAATTTGGTAGTGCTATAGACAATGAAAAATATGTAGAAGCAAAAGAAAGATCGTTCACACACATTCATTATTCTACAAGTAAGTAATAAGCAAATGAATTAGCCTTTTTTCTCCATAAGTTCTTGTGTTCCTCAAAGCTTAAAAATCTTTTAGTGTCTACTTGGAAACTAGTTCATGTTGATTATGTCAAAATATCTTGACGTGGAAGTCTCATACTATTGGAATGATGTTTTTAATCGTTATTTGAGTTATGTTGACTCTTCTTGAGAAGCTCATTAGTGGCTCCTCTTGAAATTTTGATAATGACTAGAGAAATAAGAGTAGAAGAAACATCAATTTTGTTTTTGTTTCTAGTGTGAAAAAGGTCCACAAGAATTGACAAAGAAAATCTAACAAAAGACAAGAAAAAAAAAGATTCAAACCAACTTTGTGTTCTCTACACAATTACCCCTATTTTTGGTGTGACAATGATTCGTGTTTTTAAACAATTGTAGTATATGGTCGGGAAAAAGATATATAATACCACTACTTACTCATATATCTCTTCTTACCTACTAGTCAAAATTGAGATTGCATAAATTTGGTACGAATATTGACTATGATCACGTGGGCTCTTGAGGTTCGTACTGAGCTTCCTAATAATTTATTTTCCATCATTATTCTACAAACTATTTTTCTTCTTGCGTCAGTGTGTTTGTGTTACCCCATTATCTTCTTCTTCCCTTTTTCTATGGTGGAAATTTATATTACAGTACTGAAAGAATCTAGAATCGAATCGGTGATATACATGAAACGTTAAAAACAGTTAACAGTAAAGAATAGTATTGACAAACGATGGTTCTGAACTGTATGCAGCTACCTAATTTAGTTGAAACTAATCATACAAAATATCAACTACCGATACATAAAATGTTATTTTCAGTATGATGGTATAATCAATAAGTTAAATGCTGTATAAAACAGCGGTGAAATAAAAAGTATTTAGAAACAGAAATAATAAAAGGATTGTATAAATATATCTTGTGATTAATTAGTTAGTCATTTACACTTTGAAAAACATGCATTTTAGAAAGAAAAAATTATACTCCCTTTTACTGATGGTATAATAAAACTAGTGGTCCAAAACATTGTATTGTCAACTTTTGTGATTTGTACCATGTTGATTTCTAGTAAATATTATCTGTTCCAATTCACTCGTTGAAAGGTACCGGTACGTAGGAAAAGGTACGTGTGCATTCATTGAAAATTGTTTATTTAACCTCGACTAATTAATACATAAATATCATCGCTTAGGTTGGTTTTATGACATGTTCTAGTCTTACATATATCAATACGAAGTCGCGTACGTACTTAGTGTCAAATTCATGTAAATGCATGCCTTCAAGGCTTCAACCCATTTCAATAAGAAATCATATGCCATCGCTCATCAGCTTAACAAGTTCCTAAATATGCCACGTTACACAACATAATACGAATTGTAAATTGTAATCATGGTCTTAATTCCATTAAGTCATTAACCCAAAAATGGATGCACACGAATTTGTACCATGTATATATAGGACAATAACCATGCATTCGCAGAAGAATGGAGTCTGAGACTACAAATCTGATGATGGGTTTGATGTGTTATTTATATTCTGAAGCAGAGAAGTTTCTATCTTTAGAATATGAGTCAGTGTCTATTTTTATCCTTATTTACCACGGAAACAATTATATTTATCTAAACCTGAACTTCAAATTAACAAAAGGAAAACTTCGAAACTACAAAAGGCTATAATTGTTCCACGTTTTCATCTGTTTTGTACTTCACCCTCTCATTACTTTGTGTCCAATAATTCTCTTAGATTCAAGATGGAGAGTTTGTAAAAAACAACCTCATAATATACGAGTTTTGCAAAAACCACTCTTGATGAATTACGAAAAATGCAAAACAATATATCAGATAACACCACTGTTTCGGTTATAAAGTTTAAAAATGTCATTATCAACTTTGCTAATATAATGCCTTTTAACAAAAAAAAAAAAAAAAAAACTTTGCTGCTATAAGCATATAAACCATTTCCGGTACTGTCACACAAATATGGTAATAATGGCGGTTGTGGTGGAGGCGACGATTATGATGATGACAACAAAGAAGATATATAGCCGAGATTTCTTTTTCTTATCATGGTTTTGGGTATATAATAACCTATTATATTCTTCTTAATTCAAATTGGTAATGTATCTTGCATTTGAACGTGGATTTAAGGGTGCGATTCTGCTTTCTCACATTACTTTTGTTTCAAAATTGAACGCAAAACAACATATTTTTGTCATATACTCGAAGGTTATATTGGGTACTTTTAGAGTTGTTTAATGTTTTTCATAGTTTTAGGGCTACCTTGTAAAAGTTGGTTAACTAAAGTTTTTCTTTTTCCATTCAGGATCAACCGTTCATTAATACATATAACAGTTTTCTATATAGTACTCATATTATATTGTTTTATTTTGAGGACTACTGTCGTGCTCAAGCCTATATTTGATCATTACATACAATCTTCTTGAAACTAGTTAAGGTGATTATATGATTTATATCTATATAGAAATGATCTTGACAACAAATTAAAACGTTAAAAATTAAGTGGCAGCTAAAACGTATTTAAAAGCTACGTACACAACAAAACAAACACAATTCAATCATTTCTAAAGTACGTATGCATAAGAAATTTTATGCAAAAAAAAAAAAAAAAAAACGATTAGGAGTCGTGGCGGTCGTGGTTTTGGTCGCGCCAGCAGATTAACATGGCGATACAACGGCGAAGAATATAAAACTTGGCTCTTTGTTTCTTCACGACATGACTGCACTTTTGCCCAAAAGTCTTGCACGGGTCGCACGTGCCATTCTCCTCCGGTGCCATTGATTGATTTCTTCTCTCTTAGTGAGCCCCGACTACAAAATTTTATAAATAAAGAAGAAAATGCAAGGACGGTAGAGTTTTTGAAGGTTCTTATGAGCTTTAATTTTGTAGAAGAGATGTGGAAGAGAGACAAAGATGGAGAGTTAAGTATATAGTAGTCTAGTGGAGGGGACAAGCATTATCAAACACACACAAAAATATGTTTTTACTAGGTAATTCTCTATAAAAAACCAACTTATGGTGGTCCAAATGGTTTTAGGACTTACTATAGAATTGAAAGATCTTGAGAGTATTATTTTTTTGGTTTTGACATTGATTTCACTTTATAAATCATTTTAACAAAATTACCTAAAAAGAAAGATTTAATTAGTCTCATGGAAAATTTTGATATTGGAGTGACTAACTAAAAAATTATGTGAAATATATCAGTATTCTGAAACTAAAATGTTACCGTGATAACATGAAAGCGAAACAAAATATTTTAGTTTTTGCCAAAAAAAAAACTCAACAAGTATAATTACTATACAATAACCATGTATATATCACTCTGAAGGAAAACAAAACACTGATGATACTGTTGAAAAAGAAGATTACACTGTTGCGTTTATGGTATGTTATGTTATGTCGTATGGGAAAGAAACAAGACATGGTGTGATGAACAGTTAACTTGAATTTAGTAGACCTCTCTTACATGTTTATAAATGATTCAATATATATATATATATCGAGCTACGTAATGGTAAGGCAATGGTGCCGCATTGGCATGCACCTGAAGGTGAGTGGTCGTCCGTGTAAGCCGAGCCCCACTTCTGTAAGAAGTGTCGTCTTCGTTGCAATTTATTAGCTTCGTACGATACTACCTTTTACACGCTTTTGAGCATTTTTTTACCCACCAATTTTGAATTGTACCTTTAACATTTTGGACAAAAACAAAAATAGAAAAACTCTTAATCTTGAAAAATATTAAAAGATAATTTTTTTTGTCTATTATCATTATCAAAAATAAACATATAACAAAAAAAGAATCAATACTTTCGATCTATACAATATGATATATGTATGATCAAACTGTACGTAATCTAGTGGTTGAATTAAAGCTTCATTATGGGATTAAGAGACCAAGATTCGTTTCGACTTCAGTCATGGTTAAATCATTATTGTAATAAACTTCTTAATTGGCATGATTGTCTAGTTTTTCACATTTGATACAAGTGTGTGAACTTTGGTCTAGCCATCATCTAGGATCTTCGATCTGATTATTATATGTAAATCAAGATAATAATTAATGAATATGTCAATCTATTCAAGAAGATGCGCTACTGTTGTTTAAACATTTTATTCAGTTTGTAGGGTGACTATATATATGTATATCATTACTATTTGTAGCTTATTTTACAGAGAACAATGTTTTTGAAACCAAGATAGTTCCAAAAGACAAGAAAATTTTAAGTTCTAATATGTTTTTTTTTTCTTTTTGGTATGGAAAGAAAAGTTCTAAAATTTCGAAAGACTTTTCAGGAGAAGAACCCTACAATATCATAAAAGAAATCTATATAAACAGTATAAATAGTTTGTTGATCTCTATATGTTAGTATTAGAATAAAAGCGGTGGATATATGTAAGACAGTATAGGTAGTAGAAACTAAGGATATATCTTGTTACACGTGGTTCTGAAATCGACCAAAGAATTATTTTCCGACAATGAAAATGATAATGAGATCACGGTTGGTCGATACGACGATACATATAAACGCGTGTTCATGTTCATGTTCATAGTTTAAAACGCTTATTGCTGTAGTTTAATTAGTTTTGCTTACTAGCGCTAGTAGTTGATATGCTTTTATACTGCTAGCTCCAACTTTAAAACCCTTATATATGGCTTATGCCATACATAGGACAATCTGATCCAGTTAAAGTATTGTTTTGGGATGCTACCAATCTTATAGTTTCAGTTTGGACAAATTAAGTTAAGCAAGAAATGTGAATCAGTCTGTTTTTCTAGGGTGATCTCATAATGCTATTGTGAATCAGCCTGTTTTGGTCAAACTGTGTGAAGTGTGTGACTTTTTGTTGTTGTTGTTGAACCTGCACACATATGCAGATGAATAACTAATTACAAGAGTTACTTCGAAACCCTGCTTAACCAATCTTTTTAAAGTTGCATTCATGAAAGTTTGATTAAAAGAACAAAAACAGATATGCACAATTACACAGCAAAGATAAAGAAATTGTGAAACTGTGGTAACCCCTCTTTCCTTGCTCACAAAAAAAAAAAAAGAGTTTGACAAAACTCTTATCCAAGAAAAACACTATCCCTCGGAATATCAACAAAACCCTTATAGTAACAAAGTATATTTTTGTATACACATATATTGATTATTAGAAGATGCCAATGTCTCCATGAGCTAGACAAGCAAGTCAGCATAAGCATGGAGTCCATGGCTGCTCATGTTCTGCTTAAGCCTGTACAGCGCCCGGCTCTCTAGCTGCCTTACCCTCTCCTTCGATAGTCCGTAAATCTCTCCTATTTCCGACAATGATCTCTGTTTACCGCCTTCAATCCCAAATCTCAGCTTGATTATACTTCTCTCCTTCGGGCTTAGTACATTGAGGAGATTCCGTACATGGTTCCTCATCAACTGCTTTCCCACGCTTATTGTCGGTATCTCAATCCCACTGTCTGGTGTTATTTCCTGTAGGAGGTTTAAGAGGTTATTACCAGGGTTTTGTTTGGTCAAAAGCATATCTTCAAAAAGGATTTACCTGAAAGGTGGTGTCTTGATCAGACCAAATGGGTTGTTGCATCGAAAGAGGTGTTCTTGTATTGTACAGCAGTTTATCCAGCTTCTCCTTTGAAACCCCAACGTGGCCTGCAAGTTGCTCTTTACTTGGACGGTAATTCCCTTCCTGCACGCACGTTTTTCTGGCTTCGGATACTTTTCCAAGTAGCATGTATACGTTCTCCTGTGTTAACATAGGTTGATTTCACCAAGTCTTGCGTTAGATGTTCATTCTTTATCATCTAGTAGATAATGCTTCTGATCAATTCATTAACAAATTTGTAGTTACCGGCAAACGGATTGTCCTGGAGTTTTGAAATATAGACTTTCTTATGGATTGTCGAATCCACCAGTAGGCGTAAGTAGCGAATCTGCATCCGGATTGTGGTTTAAACTTCTCTACACTCTTCATTAGCCCCATGCTTCCTTCCTAAGAACCATTAGATAAGCACAAGAAGAAGCATTGTAAGAAATGTGACTTCAAGTTAGATCACTCTATCACACACTGGAAATATCGAAGAACACGAGATACTACACATCGGATATTTTGAATAAGAAATCTGTGTATCTAGACAATTCATATAGAGATATTGAAAGGACAAAAACAATGGGTTCGTTTGAAGCTAACCTGCAATAAGTCCTGAAAGTTGAGTCCACGATTCTGATATTGTTTTGCAATATGGACAACCAGTCGTAGGTTTGCTGTAATCAGCTTTTCTCGGCTGCTTCTACCACGGTGGATTTCAGATTTCAAGACAGGGGAACTTATCCCCATAGCTTCAGCCCACTCACCTATTGTTGGTTCGCAGCCGTTTTGAGATTCAAGTTTAGTCTTTACCTTCTCCAATTTTAACAAATGCTGATATATCAAATACAGAAGTTAGAATCAGGGAAAGTTTCCAAGGAAGTTCAAGAAGATGAAAGTCCAAAGACACAGGAGTAGGGGAAGCATGAACCTGTATATGCGATATCAGCTCAGCTTCCTCTTTAGCAGTCAGAAGTTGTTTAGTCTCAGGTCCCCACAAAAAGAGCTGAAGCGCATCATCAGTATCAACCCCTTGTTTAAACTTTTTCTTGGCATTAGATTTCTGAGGAACGTAACCCTCGTTATCCACATCATTTGATTTTGGAGCCCTTCTGTTCTTTGCTCGTCTCTCTAGCAGCCGTTTCGACCTTACTATGGTTCCCTCTTCCGGTAAAGACATGGAGGAGCTAAAACCAAACATCCAGAAGTAAAAAATAGCTTCACATTATATTCCACAAGCAGCAGAGAAGCAGAATTAATTTGATAGACAAACAAGGTTTGAAAAAGCAACCTAGTGGAGAGAGAATCCCCAGAGTTGTCAGATGGATTTGCTTCAGTGTCGTCAGCTAACAATGCAGCTTGTTTTGAAGCTGATAAAGCCTTCTGAGCTAGTGCAACCACATCACAAAGCTCTGCATCTGCTAAGGGCGATACAGCTGCCGGCAATTGCTTTTCAGCTGTTATAGGAGATATCAACCTGCAAAAAAAAAAAGAAAGATTACACATCATTCATTCACAAAACTTATAGGTTGAATGAAATTCAAACTGATGTGTTTAGAAGAGGAAGAGACATTACAAGTTCCATAAACCAGCAGATTGAATGAGTTGCTGTTCAAATGTCTCATCTTCCCGAGATGAAACCAATTCATCAAACTGCCTCCTCTCCAGAGTCAACTAAAAATTCCCAACGAACCAAAGATCATTCATAGGCGGAAACATAAAAACAAGTAAGAGGTAGAAAGTTGAGAAATTTGTGATTGATTCCAGCTTTTAGGACAACAAAGCTGCTCATAAAGGCACCTGGGATGTTCTGTCTTCTCTAAACGCATGTGACAGAGGCCTAGATTCTTCCCGTGGCTCCTGTGAGAGAACCGAAGCCGGAAAATGTCGAGATAGAGAATTGAGATGACGTGAGTTAACAACTACAGGTGTTGCTGTTTGCTCATGGAGCATCACTACTGCAATCAATACACCAACAAAGAAAGAAAGAAAGATTAAACATAAACAAATCAGAAAATGCAATAGCAGAAACACATATGTATGTATATACGAATTCGAACTTGAAAACCACAAGGGGCAAGACAAATTGGAGTAATCAGCGGAGACAAACGAGCAAAGGCGCAGTACCTAAGGAAGGAGAAGAGTAGTTCTTGAGATGGGTCTTTGTCTGAAACGAAGGAGATGAAGAAACCAAGTTCCTCGTAGCTTCCATTTCACAGAGTATCCAAATAAAAAGACTCTAATTTTGCTTTCCACGAATGGCTAAGGAAGAAGAATAAGAACATGCGGCTACTCTACAGAGCCATGACGAACAGATAAGGCGACACACTCCAATTACATTCCACTTATATGTGTGGAGCTGACCGGTTTACTCCGGTTAATGACCAGATTACAATCACACATGGTTTAAAGTAAACCAATCTCTCATATACTCTAATAACCCGTTCAGTATCGTTTTGGTCGACTAAACATTAGTCGTGTGTGACTAGGCCATATATTGCGATGGCTATACTTTGGACTGTATATGGGCCTCAGCTGTGGAAATCTAAACCGAAGATCCAAACATTTAATAATGTGAGTAATTAAGAGCAATATAGGGTATATGTTAGTTAGGATATGTTAGCATTAATTTAGTATTAAATTTTAAAAAAGTAGAGTTTGAGTTTAAGAGTTTTAGTTTTGTTTTTAGTTTTGATATGTGTTTATTGGTAGGATTTTAAGTTGGGTATCTTAATTTTTTTTAAAAAAATTAAATAAATTTATAATTTGTAATATAAGAAAATTAACTTGTGTTTTCCATGTATGGCTAATTTTATTGGGTTTTTTTTAACATCTATTCATCAAATTCATAATTAAGTTTGAAAATTGTTATGTCATAATATAATTATCAACTTACCCAATCCATATAAACTATAGTAATGTCATAATAAATGGTTTACACAAAAAAAAAAAATTTGTAATGTCATAATTTAAAAAAAAAAACTTACTCAATCCGATTGCGCCACGTGGCGTCTCTTAACCGACCAAATGAATCCTTCTCCAACTTACGTATCTTACCAATATTAATGAATTTTGATTTATATTTAAAAGCTTGATACCTTAAATACTTCTTAAAACCCACTGATAATGTTGGTCTAAGTAATAACTGAGTCGAATCAATAATGGATCTACTCGTCCTTTTTAGTAACACGAACTCTGTAGTCGTTTTAGTTCTTCTTCTTCTTCTTTTTTTTTTTTTTTTGTTTATTGTGTTTACGATAAAGTGACACTGTTGAATGATCCGGTTAATGAAAACTTCTCAACCACATGTATTATCAGTGATTGGATTGTTAACAATGCAGAAGGAGTGAGTAGAGTAATCCACAATAACCAACCATGTAAGAATCAGAAAGCAATGCTTTCGAAGCATCAAGTGTATAAGAGCACCCTCCAATGGTTACAAATTTTTTTGCATTAAATATTTTAAAATAAATTCATAAGCAACTCTATATTGGTGGTCCAATAGTATGATTCTTAATGAAGTGTTTAAAAACAAAAATTTAATTTAATTTGAATACTATCATCTTTTAAGTATATATAAATAAAAATAAATAGAAACATTTATTATAATTTATAAAAGAAAACAAGTTATTGCATACTATAAAATATTTAAAACACGACATAAAAGTATATATGAAATCATGCAAATTAAAAACGAAATAAGCGACTAGTTGTAATATTGATTTGTGCCAAATTTCTGCAACAAATCAGCTTATGTTTTGCTTATGTTTAAATTATATTACTTATGTTTTGTGGTTGATTTTGCATTCTTAATATAAGCAATGTGTTAAGTTTAGCATTAAGCACCTCCATTGGAGGTGCTCTAATCAACATTTAATTTGTATAAGTAACACTACATAAGCCTATGTTATGTAACCTAAACCATAATTGGCCACGCTAAAGTCACATATTCTTACCATCTTCTACAGAACCATGCATGAAGTGTATATATATAAAATCAACCCTTATCTTTTTCTATGCTTTGAATTCGATGCCTTTCTCTGCTAATCTGAGTGTGGCAAGTGCATAAAACCCAATGTTTCACGTAACAGACAAAACGCTGCGTACTAATTTATGTTCCAAATTTCCGCTACGTACACAAACATTTTGCATGCAAATTAAACACCAAATATGTAGATCTTAGATTATCATCAGGCGATATTATTAATTAATGGTTTCTACATTCTTAAAAGGTTTCTAAAGAAATAACAGAGACCATATATGTTGTTTGTTACATGTAAGGCCCGTAGTGGAAAGTTTCATGATCATAACTTAATATAAAGCGTTTTAATTGACAAAAAAAAAAGAACAGAGAAAACAGAAACATCAGAATATGTTTTCATACAAAAATATCATTTAGAAGGTGAGAATACTCACTAATTAAACCTACTTAATTGTTTTTACTTAATCTTATATAAAAACAAACCCATTTAACTAGTTGGGCGGCGAAACAACGGAGGAGGATGATGAGCAAGCAAATATAGTATAGGCTACTTTTGTATGAGAGGGTAATAAATATAGTAAAGCTAAGGGTAATAAGACAAATCCTTTACCTAACCAATTATATAATGACAAATAAGATTTGTTCTAATTTAAAATACTTTAAAAAAACTTAAATTAAAATGAGATTATGCTTTTAAACTTACACTGGTCCCTCTCCCTATATGATTCAGATCGAAGACTGCAGTTTTGTATATGTTCACACGTTGGGTCCAGAAACTTTGACGGCTGAGATCTTTTCTTTAAGAGGAAATCGGCGGTTCTGCTTGGCTAATCCTTTTTTACAAGAAAAGTTGTATACTACAGTATTTGTACTTGTTTGTCTCTATGCTTTCGAGTTGTTTGTTTAATAAGAAATCTATTTGCTGGATTCAATTTTTTCAGGACATCTTGCTTTATGTTTGAAGCTATATAGTAGTACTAGTTAATAAAATCTAAAGCTTGTAAAAGTAATTAGTAAAAAAATCTATAACTTGAGTCAAAAGAAGAAAAGGTAATATCAAGAGTACTATTGCATTGGTATATTCCAGGATGAAACTATCAAATACATGGTCATTTTTTTTTAATTTTTTATTTTGGGCAAAATACATGGTCATTATATAAACTGATAAACAAATATGCGAAGAAACTTGAGATTTTGTATGTAAATTTTACATGCATGAAAGAGTAGCTAGTAAATCACTCTCAGATTGTTTCCACTAAAATCTGAGTTTTCCCTTCGTATATCATACAGCAATAACTTTCGCACCAACTAATTCGCATATATCTATCACATGTTGATTCCTTTTATGAAATTCTCTTGGCTCTACATGTCTTTCGTCTCTAACTAGCTAGTGCTTGTCTAATTGTCAAGTATCTTGGCATTGTGCTAATCACTTAAAAAGATGATTACCGAAAAATCAAGCTAAAATTTCCTCATGGATTTTGTTAAAAGGAAAAACAAAAATCTCCATATGGATGTCTTTGCTCTGTCTGCTTACAACTAATTCACTCAGTTAGATACAATATGTTGATTTTTTTACATTGAAAAACTTTGTAATGTATTTAGATGGTATATATATATATATGGATCTTATGAGAGCGAGGCAAGATCCATGATCGATGTTTGATCTTAGAATCATATATATGATGTTTGTTACATTACACTTAAGAGATACCTAGGGTATATTTCTGATCGTAAAATGATATTTCGTTTAAAATGAGCAATAATATGAATCATCAACTCAATGAGATTTAAAATATGATAAGAAGTGATTTATTTCTCTTTGAGTTTAAGGTTTTGTTTTAGAGATAGCCCCAAAATTTCCCAAAAGCAGGCGTTTGCTAGCATTTCTTTCAAGCATGATTGATTTGGAACTGGAAAATATGAACGTTTTAACCATATTGTGGATAGATTATACTGTACATATGTTTCAAATAATAAATTAAAACTGCATTTAAGAAAAGCATATGGCTCTATTCTATATCTAACATCGGTTTATATCTTTACTTTTAAGACCAAACATATAAAATGATATGACTTTGCACAGTTTTTTTTTTTTTTTCATCACTTATTCATTTTCATGGCTTCACTTTCACCTTCTCAAGACTATTCACTAGATTAGGTACTCTCTAGAGTTAAGAAAAAAAGTTAGATAACACAATTACCTGATAAAAGATTAAAGTAAGTTACCTAAATTTACTGAAAGCATTATAGCGCATGAATTAAGTACTGTAGTTGATGCTTTTAACTTTTAACCGTACCAATCTGGTTTACATCCACCGCCAAAACCAATCCATGGCAAGAAGATTCATTACTAAGCAAGCAACCATAGACTATTTAATTATATTTGTTATAGTATACCATTAGGCATTAGCAATGATTTTTCATTAATTTCCCAAATATGTTTCAGTTAAATGTGTTCCAATCCCAACAACTGGTTGTTGCCAAAAGACAATCAAAACAAGCAAATCATCAGACATCAAAATACTCTTACCGTAGCTCACCGGTTTCAATCACACACCAAAACTATTACACAATTCTCATTAAAGTTCTTATATATCAACTGCCTTGACACATTGTTTTTCCCAAAAACAAATAAAAGTACTCATTCAAGAAACCATCTTCCTTAAACAGAAATTTAAAGGTAATGGGATCTCTAGAGAGATCAAAGAAGAAAGTTCAAGTATGGAAGAAAGCTCTGATCCATTTCTCTCTTTGTTTTGTGATGGGTTTCTTCACTGGCTTTGCTCCTGCTGGTAAGGCCTCATTTTTCTCTAATTCCGATACCACCACCTATACTTCTACAAAATCTCAAATTCCACCCCAACCTTTTGAAAACTCTACCTACGCACCCCATTCCCTACTCAACAGAACCTTGATCATCAATTCCCAAGCTGAAGCCCCTGCTCCTGCAGAGTCGCGAGAATCCGGAGAAGAAACCAGATCTCTCTCCGAGACGGAAGACGAGAACCAAGTTAAAGTGACACCAAGAGGACTAGTGATTGTTGTAACCCCGGTGATGACAAAAGATCGGTACAAGAACGTTCTTCTTAGGAGAATGGCCAATACCTTGAGGCTAGTCCCGCCTCCATTATTGTGGATAGTCGTGGAGAAACACTCGGATTCCGACGAAAAATCTTCCTCTACAATGTTAAGAAAGACTGGTATCATGTATAGACGTATAGTCTTCAAGGAGAATTTCACTAGCATGGAAACAGAGCTTGATCACCAGAGGAATCTAGCTTTGAGGCACATTGAGCAGCACAAATTAAGCGGGATAGTTCATTTTGCGGGCCTAAACAACATATATGATCTTGATTTTTTCGACAAGATCAGAGATATCGAGTACGTTAACTTAAAACAACATTTTCTTTAAACATCACAAATTAGAAAAGAGTTTTTTTAGAAAAATGTGTTTCTTGTGTTGCAGGGTATTTGGTACTTGGCCAATGGCATTGTTATCGGCTAATAGGAAACGAGTGATAGTAGAAGGGCCGGTTTGTGAATCTTCACAAGTATTGGGTTGGCATTTGAGAAAAATAAATAACGAGACAGAGACAAAGCCTCCGATTCATATATCAAGCTTTGCTTTCAATAGTTCCATACTTTGGGATCCTGAGAGATGGGGTCGTCCTTCTTCTGTTGAAGGCACCAAACAGGTAACTTTAGCTTCAACCCCAACTTTTATTACCTATTCAAATCTTTTCTTGGTGAATGTGAAAACATTTTGAGCTTGTTTTTTTGTTATTTGTTGTTGCATAGGATTCGATAAAATATGTGAAGCAAGTAGTTTTGGAGGACGATACAAAGTTGAAAGGACTTCCGGGACAAGACTGTTCCAAGATTATGCTTTGGCGTCTCAATTTTC